AGAAAACCGTGTTATAATTAGGGTTAGGAGTAGAAAATATAGCGCTTATAAGTACGTAAAACATCGCGAGGAACATTTTTAATTAGGTCGCAGAAGGTGATTTCCTAATTAAAATTTAGTTATTCTTGTTTCGTTTCGATTTTTACGTTACACCCGATCCTGAAATTCGATTGGTCAAAATTACAGGAGTGAACAATTTTTTGTGGGAGAGCTAGGGGCGTCATGCTAATACATCATTTTGGTTTCGAGTTTTGAATGTTCTTATCATTCCGACCTGTCTTTCTGGATGATTGTGAATAGGTACGTACGTAGTTACGATGAGGATATCTGAACCGGCTTCAATTCAGACCGGAATATTCTTTTGTCCGACCCGACCCGAGACCGGGAAGATCGGTATAAATTTTATAGAGTTTGGAGCCGGATTTATTTTTCATATGATAAAACCGATTAAAACCGGATTTAACATATGAAAAATAAACCGATTCCAAACTCTAGTATAAATAAATCCCATAAATTTAATTTTTGTTAAATTTTCATTGCACAAGTCATACATACATTTTCTTTACTTCATTCAGTGGGAAACTTTACCTGTCAGTAGCATTGCTACTGCAGATAAATTTTTCTAACATGATGAATCATTGGGCGTACAACTTTTCTGATCTGAAATGATTAAATAAAGCCCTGGCATGCAACAGCCGTTTCTGAGATTAATGAATGAAGTTTTTATACGTAGAGATAAAATAAAAAATGTACGAATAGATATTTTTTAGGAAAAATAAAATTACTTCAAATTTAAACCTTTATTAACATGTATTAGCATGTATTTAACACTCGAAATTTTAAATTTTAAAAATTAAAAATTAAGAATAAAGAGATTTGACGTATATTTTTACAGATAAATAAACCACCATCCAAAATATCTATTATATGGTTATTTAAACACCAACCTTAAAATATTGATTATGAGAAAGTAATAATGAGAAATCGAGATATTATGTAAACAGAATAAATGACCATACAAAATTGATATAAATTATTTATATTCTGAAGCATAGTTGCATCAAATTTTTTTTTTTTACTCTAGTTAACATTGAAAAATTCACGGGTAGTGTTGGCACTTGAAGGCCACTGGAAGTAAAATTAATAGTGGAACTTTTACTATTACAAAATCCCACTGGAAGGCTAAAAATTGCCAACACTGTTCACGGGCTTATAGATTGAGATGAATTATCTGGAAGACCTGCATCAACATCGAACCCTATTCCTTTCGAACGTCTTTTTCTATTCCATGCTCCGTCACCGTACATTGTGTCCCATTTTCTCAGCTCAGTCAAACTTGACATATCTTCTGAACAAGAAGGTGTCACTTGTTTAAGTGCAAGCTGAAAATGATGAGTTTTCAATACTCTGATTTCTGGGTGTTTGTCAACGGTCTTTTTCGTAATCCCTTTGACAAATGTGCTAGAATTTGCTTGCTCTCTTTCTGCATCCTCGCGGACGGCGGCAAGAGCAGCACTAATACATAAATTTTTTAAATCTGACCCGGAGTAAAGATTGGTTATTTTCGCTAAGTTTGCCAATGATATCGACGGATCAAGTTTCTCGTCACGAAGATGCAAATGAAGGATGTGTTCACGATCTTTCTCGGTAGGTAAGTCAACTGTATATATTATGAAGATTTGTTATTCTTAAATGTTGTGCAAGGCAATGTTGGCCAACGACTCATTTTATTATTATTATTATTAAATATATTAGAGTTCCAATCCATTAACCGTTTATCCATATATCCGTAATCCGTTATCCAAGTATCCGATCTGAATTTATCCGGATATGGATAAATGGATAACGAATTTATCCGGATTGGAACTCTAGAATATATATATTGATAATATAGTCATATAACTTATGAAATCATTAAAAAATTGAAATTTTCTACATTGAGCCATAAAGTCATTAGTATTATACCAAATAACTTATGACTGATGATGAAAGTCTCATATATAATTAAATGCCATTGACCAACATTGATTCCAATTCTTAAAAGCAATTTATATGAAATACCTAATATCCTTCTTGGCATTCTCCTTAAAATGGCATCATCCAAGTCAAATGGTCGATTGGTTGCACCCATAATCAGTACACCTTCATTACGAGACGTCAAACCATCCCATTCTGCCATGAATTGGTTGATGATTTCTCTATGTGCTCCGTTATGTATGTCTGATCTCCTGGATCCAAATATCGCATCAAGTTCGTCTAAAAATATCACACATGGTGATAGCTTACGGGCAAGAGAAAATATTGCCTATTAACAAATAATAAGTCATGAGTATTATTTTATTAAAGTGTGCAATATTGCTCATAAACGTATCGTAACATATATCCATACCCGAACATTCTTCTCACCTTCACCAACATACATATCGTATACATCGCTGGATTTAATTTCGATCACAGTGCTACCGCTTTCTTTGGCAACGGCTTTCGCCAACATAGTTTTACCAGTTCCAGGTGGCCCGAACAATAAAACCCCAGTTATAAAATGTCTTCTCAAGACTCCATAAGAGAATGATTGTGGTCGCATTAAAGGTAAGGTAATCAGCGTTTGAAGTGTTTGAACAGTGGATTGCGCAACATGTATGTCAGAAAATCCTACATAAATATTCTCTACATTTAATGTAGAAACAATTGATGTTAGCACGTCCTCATCTACCAACAATTTCATGTAGATTCTTATCAAATTACCTGGATCTACCACGCAACCTAAAAGTTTTTTTTCATATTTATCAAGGTCCTCTTTTCTCATGTTTTTTCGGTTTGATAAATTTATTTTACCATCCCCAATGCCTACAATACTTACTAGCTTTTCGGGACCTTTATTTGTTACGTCATTATTAGATGAGGCTGACTCAACGAAATCTTTCCGTAGCTTTTGATTTGCTCTTAAAGTATTTGACGCCAAAATAAAATGTTCAACATCCAAATATATTTGATCATTCAGTATTGATAAATCTTGTCTTTCAAGAGATATTCCAATCGCATTCATTACAAGTCGGTGAACACGCTCAAATCCCCATACTTCATTATCCAAACCATCCAGTTGTGCAAGAAGGCATCCCAACTCTTTAATATCGTTGACTCTGAAATAAGCACCCTTGCTAGCGCATACGGCTTTTAAAGTACGTACATTAATATGCCTTATAGCGACATTCTTATCCTCTGCAATCATGGTTTGCAGATGTTGAGCTAATACAGGTGACGACGGGGGAGGTATGGCTATATGAGTAAAGGCGGCCAACATTGCAGGATTCGGAAATATGTCAACGTTGACCCATTGAATTTCATGTGAAGGTATGCAGTTATTTGAAGGGCTTAATGATGACTTCTTTTCTATAGCAAACAATGATGGAGAATATCCAGCAATTATCATCATTTGATCACCTAAATATCTTTGATTTTGTACTGCTTCAACAAGACTATTAATCAATGCGGTACCGAAAGTAGTTGGAACCAAATCTCCGACATCACGAAAATATATGATTTTTGGTGTTGATGACGTGTTTTTCGATGAATTAACATTATCAGAAAAAGATGTAGAAACTAATGTCTCAAAAAATCGGTCTATTTTATCAAGGATAATTTTCATCTCTGCGCGTAAAGAACCGTTTGTTTGAGATGAATTATATTGAAAGTTGTCAGCCAAAGTTTTATTTTCATAACCAGAATTGCGAGACGATGGTGATTCGAAGCCTTCCTCCTCCATGAAAACATCATCTTCTATTTCATCATCTGAAGAAAAGGAAGAAGTTGTGGAATACGGTGATGCGGCAATATATGGATTAAAGCCCTTAAGTTCCGGAAATAGTGGCCACGGTGTTACTATAAATTCATGAAAAAAAGAATTGAATATGAAAGTATCTATGTTATATGATTAAATGTTTAGAAAAAGATAAATCTTACCATTACCCTTCCTCGAAAACATACTCGCAGTCAATTCCATCAAATCTTGCCGATCAAAAGTCAATAAATCGGCATGTAAAGATGTGGCAACACTTTTCACGATGGAATCCAGATAATATGATGCACCTTCAATTGGACAATTCAACAGTAAATGACCACGCCGCGCAGGTATGCCATTGCCTTTTGGAACAGAAAAAAGATTTGCACGCGCACTATACAAAATTTCATCACGTATCCCATCTTCCAAGGGGTAACTCATTGTTGCAAAAGAATGTTTATTATTTTTAATTGGCAAATAATTTTCTTTCAAAAATAATTGAGGTATCACTGGTTTGTAAGAGTTTGATGGCTTTGACACGCGTGTACGGTAGTAAATATCGGGGCATTTCGTGATAGTAGACAGTCAATGAACACAAAACATGAGCATGGTTGTCGGTGATTTAATAACCCTTCTACCTGATTCGCATAATCTAGCATAATTCTAAAAATTTATCGCATAATTCGCATAAATCGAATTGTAAAGCAGGCAGAATTTGGGATCTATCGCAGCAGAAAATGAGGATCATCCCCAGTAATTTTGACCAATCAAAATTTAAGATCAAACGTGTTTTGTTTTCTAAGTAAAAAAGTTACGCGCAAAGTTAAAATTAGCTAGGGATGTTAAGTGGTCCGAGAGGACCGGGTCTTGGACCAGACTTTTTAGGACGGTTCAGAACTAGTCCGAATAATCTTGTGATATCAAGATCGTCTAATTGGCTAATTTACGTCAATCAAAACATGATTACAATACTAGAATAAATTCATAATTAAAAACAATATTCGTTTGCTATTGATGTATTGTTTCTATACATTAAACCGCTATATTTAGACAGGTTTCAGACTAGGGGCATGAACTAGTTCAGATCCAGACTTTTTAAGGACTTGACTGGGACTGGACCGAACTGGACTTTTAACATCCCTAAAATTAGCTGCCCGATACGAAAGTATTTTGTCTCGAATCGATCACGGGTGTGTACTACTTGCCTGATCTTTTGATGCATTGTATGATCTATCGTATTTTTTAGTGGGTTGTATTGTTACGTATAAGTTATCGATTAATTCGCTTGATACATTGTCGTGATTGATTAATTGATCTTGTGTCGTAATAACGTATTTTGCGGTTAGTAATCATTAGTAGTTTTTAAGGGGAACGGTTTTTTTTCCCAGGAAAAGTAATTTCTGCTTTTTCTGCTAACCCGACTTTGTCTGGTTTTTCGTCCCCCCACCCAACCATATGGGCTAATTCTCAATTATTGAGCCCTGAATAGAGTCGCCAAATTTAGTTTAAACCCCTTGTTTAATTTTTTTTTATTGGTTTGACGAATTTTTAGGGTGATTGTTTTGATTTAATGAGGGTTTATTCTGCACGATTCTGTAAGAAGGATTTAATGAATATGCATAAAACCCATTAGATTATCTTAAAACCCATTAGATTATCGTCTAATTATTAACCTAGACCTAC